TGGTGTCTTTAAATCCCAAAACGACGCCCGAAGCTTTGAGCTAAAAAATAAAAAACGAAAAAAAAAACATACGTCGTAATGCTTCATTTAATATTTGTTTCTGTAAAGGCCCTTTCGATGTTTAAACAATTTAAAACGTTTGGGGAATTTGTTCGTTTAAAACGTCGTTTGTGTTTTTTTATTTTTCCTTTTCTGACTTCTCAAAGATCACACACGGTTCGCTGCCCCTGATGGGGGACCCTGTTGTTTTAAGGATAACATAGCAATTGGCTGGGTGAGGGGAAGCTGAAATGGGAGTTTTGTCGTCTGCAAGTGAATGTGATGACGTCATTCGAGGTGTGAGCGTATGTGTGTATATGTTTGATTTTTTTTTTTTTTTTGGGGGGGGGGGGGGGGGAACTGAATGGAATAAATAGAGTACAGGGAGGGAGGGAGGGAGGGAAGATAAAATTTGTCTTAAGGCTATCGATGTTGTTCTTAAATGGTTTTGGAGTATATTATATTCTAGAAATCTTGTTTTTAAGCCCACATTTGATACTTAACATTTTTGTATTGTTTCTTTTTTACGAGAAAATTAAGACAGTGTTAGTTAAGAATATAGTAATAGTAATGAAAGAATTGTACTGGGATGAGGGGGGGGGGAGGGGGAGGGTTGAAAGTGGGGAGGGGTGGGTAATTTGTTAACAGAGCATACAGCACCAAAAATTAATGACCGCTCTTAATTTGTTAAGTCATTTATAACATAAGACAACTATCTTCTACAAGAAGGTTTGTTTAAATTGTTCAGCCATTCATACAATTAGATCTTTGAAAATACGATTTGCTTAAATTGTTCAGTTATTCATACAATTCGACCTTTGAAAACACGATTTGTTTAAATTGTTCAGTCATTCATACAATTAGATCGTTGAAAGTACGATTTGTTCAAACAGTTAAGTCATTGATAACATTAGGTATCTGTCTTGTATACCACGAGGTGTTAAAGGTTAACATGATACTTCTATATAGTCTTACCTTAGGACATACGTTGAAACATGTTAAGGACAAAAAATACATCCAGTAAAATTGTAATTTGTAGCAATTTATACATGAAAAAGTAACATTAAAAAAAATGAATTAACACAGCACTAACAAAGCATTAATAAATAAAAGAAAATATTCGAAAAAAAACTTTTTTTAAAGTGTTGATGAAATGTTCATGAGTTTAAATTAACGTGAGAGGAATGCTTTGTATATACATGACATACAATCGACGATATGTTTTTTATTTTTTTTTTTACAAATTCCTATTGCACATTCATTGTGTAATAAATTGTAGTATCTCGCTAATAGAAAAAAATCAATTAAGCGAACTACAGTCAGTTAGTCAATCGATTAAATATTTTGTGTCAAAACAAAGACTACAATGAATTGAAATTAGTTCATCAGTTTAAAATTTTTTTTTTTATCTTTTGCAATTTCGCACCATATTTCAAAAAGTCAGTAGGCCCTACAGCATGAAACTTTAGAAAATCCTGGCATAGGAGACACAAAACACCCATTTCATTTGTATATCGCTGTTTTTTTTTTTTTAATTTATACCAAGCGCCTTGTTATAATGCTCAAAGTTTTTGTAATTACTAATAATTGTCTGTCTTTAAATCGTCTTTTAAGTTTAACCGTTGTTGGAAAAACCCATTTGCAAATTTATATACCTTTTAATTTGTAGTTTTCAATTTACCAGAATTTGCATTTGGTTTATTTTCATGAACCTTCGGCTATATTTATCATTTCACAAACACAAAAGAATTACATTTCGTGATTTGGCTTTGTAAAATAAAAACACAGATGAACATTTTATGTATACCCCAGTGTTGCACACTGGAATGGCCAGGTACATTGTCGCAAATAAAGGCCAAAACGTTGCCCCGGGCTTGCCTGGGTGGACTCATTAGCTAAGCCTAAAGTAACCTAGGAAAATTGTGGCTAGCGTGGTGGCGCTTATGAAGATGTTGTGCCGGATGGTGTTCAGCGAGGGCGCCGTGTTGCCGTCGTCGTTGTCTGTGGAGGGAAAGAGGTGGGAGTTTAGAGCTATGATGGTGGGGGATGGTGGTTTGATGGGGTGGGGGTGATGATTTGATGAGGAGGGTTATGGTTTGATGGTGAGGTAAGTGTGGAGGTAGGGGGTGATGGTGGGGTGTGGGGTGGGGTGGTTTGATTGTGGTGGGGGGGGGGAGATGATGATAGTTTGAATGTCGAGGGTTGTTTGATGGGTTGGGGGGTGTATGTGATGTTATGACAGTTGTGTATGTATATGATGGTCTGATGGTGGGATGTGCGTGACGAGATGGTTTGATGTGGGATGTAAGTGTGTGTGTGTGTGGGGGGGGGGGGTTAGTTTGCTCGACATTTTCGCATAAGTGTGTGATGGTTTAATGGTGGAATGTATGTGTGATGGTTCGATGTGGGGGGGGGGGATGGGGTGAGTGTGGGTAGGAGGTCGAGTGTTGCACAAAGCGTGTGATGGTTATGTATATATATATATATATATATATATATATATATATATATATATATATATATATATATATATATATATATATATATATATATATATATATATATATATATATATGTATGTATGTATATCCGTAGAAAAACTGACCTTGACTTTTGCCCAACATGTATTCTTCTTTCGAGCTAGGCTGTCTATCGCTGACGATGTCAGTTTTGGGCTTCGTGTGGGTGTGTTTCCTGTGGTTGTCCTCCATTGGTCTAGAGATCCTGTTCTCGTCGATGTGGTGGTAGGGCGTTGTCGGCTCTGTCGTGGTCGTTGTCGTCTTCGGGACGGTCTCTGGGGATTAGACAGCGTTGTGACTACTGTAGGCAAGGGTCTGTGTTTGTTACATGCGTTATGTATTTATATATTTATTTTGTATTCAAAAGAAACACTGAAAAACTCTGACAGTATAAATTAACTTTGTGATAATAATTATTTTCACGTTTTACCGGAATTTAATACCCACACATTATTGATATTGCTTAAATTGTGATAACATAATAAACACTCAAGTCACGGTTCTTTATGGATACGATTTTCACAAAAGCCAGTGCAGACAGATAGTTTTCGTTTTGTTTTGAAGAAGGCGTGTTATTTTTTTCACTACATACAGGTCATTTTAATTTTGTTTTGATGAACACATGTTATTTGTTTGACTACATACAGGGAGTTTATTTTTTCAGACAAAGATTCAGGTAATATCAGTTCACACTAATATCAATTTTTTAGAATCATTTATCTGTTATTAAAAAGGAAAAATATTACGAGTAGCTTCTCACTGTAGAAAAATACGCTTCAAATGGAAAATTAATAATGGGAATTATTTTTTGTAATATATTATTCGTGGGAAAACGAAATTGTGCCCATTTGTGTACTAAAATCCTAGATTGGATTAGTATTTGCATAAATACTTAAATGTCAGTTATTTATTTTAGACGTTGCCGCCGAATGGGATTCTGCAGTGTTAAAAAATTACCATTTTGTCATGGGCTCGAACGCTGGTATGCCTTTACGGCCTTAAAGAGTTAATTGTTGTTTCACATTGTTTATAAAATGAAATAAAAGAAAACAAAAACGTCAATTTAAACTAAATTATGATGTAGTAATGAAAATGAAACAATTATTGGTGATTTCGGTATACATAGTTGTATTATTTGACATTTGATTATTGTTTACTTGCGTTTTCAAACAATATTTATAAATACGATATGAAATGAATATGAATGATTTATATACATCCAATCAGATACATTGGACTTTAAGTTTGGGAACCATTCGATATGTTAACTAATCATACGTAAAGCACGAAGCCTCTATTTTAACTGTCACTAATGTATGAACTTCAAATGTCTTTACTCATCTGCTCATAGCTCAGCAGGAACAAAGTGGACATAGACACACGTACTCACCTTGTAGTTCCATGGACATTTTCGCAGAACCGACGTCATTGGTCGCCAGGCACTCGTAGGCGCCGTAGTCCTCCCGCGTGATCTTCTTGATGTTCAAGGTCAGTAGCACCTTATCGTCTGACTCAGGGTAGGCTTGCACGACATGGCGTTCGGTGTTGGAGATTTTCCTGCAAGGTCGTGGAACACTGGTTACAGCATGGGGGATTTTTAAACCGGCAAACATACTAGTTATTCACCGAGTATATATATATATATATATATATATATATATATATATATATATATATATATATATATATATATATATATATATATATATATGGGGAGTTTGACTTTTCACTGAAGACACTTGCCCGAATGTCGTTTGCCTGAAGTGAAGTTTAAAAAAAACAGGCATACAAATTAGTTATAGACCGTATATATCAGGTAAAAAAAATCAGACATACAAATTAGTTATACACCGTGTACATCATGGTTTTTTAAAACCGGAATACGTACTCGTCAAACACCGGGTATTACATGGGTCTTTTTATTGCTGTTCTGTTAGATCAACAGTGCTGCCTAAACTCACCTGTCTATATACTGGCACCACTCACTGGTATTTCTGACTTCACCCACCTGTCTTTGTACAAACAATTACCTGTCTCCATCACCACTCACCTGTCTATACCACCACTTACCTGTATACTTTAACCACTCACCTGTCTTTATGCTGCCACCACTCACCTGTCTATACCACCACTTACCTGTATACTTTAACCACTCACCTGTCTTTATGCTGCCACCACTCACCTGTCTATACCACCACTTACCTGTATACTTTAACCACTCACCTGTCTTTATGCTGCCACCACTCACCTGTCTATACCACCACTTACCTGTATACTTTAACCACTCACCTGTCTTTATGCTGCCACCACTCACCTGTCTATACCACCACTTACCTGTATACTTTAACCACTCACCTGTCTTTATGCTGCCACCACTCACCTGTCTATACCACCACTTACCTGTATACTTTAACCACTCACCTGTCTTTATGCTGCCACCACTCACCTGTCTTTATGCTGCCACCAGGCTGCTGCTACAGGTGAGGCATACACCTCACAGTCTAGCACCGTGTCCTTCCCCAAAGCTTGGTTCAGTCGGGTGTTGCCCAAGACAACCTCGGGTTTATCTGGATAAGTGTCACGGAGGTCAGTGGATAGTATTTACTTGGATAAGTGTATCATTAGATGTACATGGACACGTAAAACATAAAATCATAATTTTCTAGGCTAGGTGTCACATAATGCAGGAAAAATTATTGGATTAGAGTCACAAAAAGGATAAAACATTAATTAGTCATACAATTAAGTCTAATTTGATGTCAGATTGCATTGACCCACGCCAAGTTTGAAGCAAATCGGTCAGTTGGAAGTGCTCGAAATTTTGCTCGGCAGTTTTGATCCATGACGACAGAAAGAGGAAACAAGTTAAATAAAAGCTTGTAAAAAAAGTGTCACATCAGAGAAAATATACTTGGATAAGTATCATTTAAAGGAAAGTATACATAAAAATGAAATAGTGTTATATAATAGGACATTATATTTAGAAAAAAATGTCACCCAAGATGTTAATATACTTGGATAAGTGTCGCATTAAGATATACGTTAATACAAAAAAAAAAAAACGACCAATACTTTAATTTTTAATAAATCCAGGTAAAAGGTTAGCTTGACCTGCCATCGCTATGACTCACGCGTTACAAAAACAACAGCCGGCCCTATCGTCCAATCCACCGGGGGGGGGGGGGGGGTCTGGCCGGACGTAAGGTGATACTCACCACCGTCGGCTCGATTGACCAGAGTCCACCCCAGGGACATGCGCCCTGGCCAGCAGGTCGCGCCATGCATATTTGATGCAATCTGGGTCTCGTTCTGCTGTTTACATAAAGGGCCCGGGGGTAGGGGATGGGGGGGGGGGTCTGGCTGTAACACGTCTCATTTTTGTTTTATTCTGGGTAAACAAAAGGGTCGTTTAGCGATGGGGGAGATTGGTCATCGTGGTTTTATCTAAACGATTGGTCATCCTGGTTTTATCGTGCCCGGAAGTGGGATTTTATGGACCAATGATAGGAGGCTTTTTGGACATAGCGAGAATTCTGAGTTTATTGCCCAATGTGACTGGTGGACTTGGCCTGACTTCTGGTAGACTTGGCCAGACTTTTGTGGACATGGCCATACTTCCGGTGGACATGGCCAAATTTCCGGTGGACATGGCCATACTTCCGGTGGACATGGCCAGACTGCTCACTTTAATGTCCAATGTCGCTGGCAGACATTGCCAGACTTCCGGTGGACATGGCCAGACTTCCTGTGGACATGGCCAGACTTATGGTGGACATGGCCAGACTTTTAGTGGACATGGCCAGACTTCCGGTGGACATGGCTAGACTTCCGGTGGACATGGCCAGACTTCCGGTGGACATGGCCAGACTTACGGTGGACATGGCCAGACTTCCGGTGGACATGGCCAGACTTCCGATTGACATGGCCAGACTTCCGGTGGACATGGCCAGACTTCCGGTGGACATGGCCAGACTTCCGATTGACATGGCCAGACTTCCGGTGGACATGGCCAGACTTCCGGTGGACATGGCCAGACTTCCGATTGACATGGCCAAATTTCCGGTGGACATGGCCAAATTTCCGGTGGACATGGCCAGACTTCCGTTGGACATGACTAGACTTCCGGTGGACATGGCTAGACTTCCGGTGGCTATGGCTAGACTTCCGTTGGACATGGCTAGACTTCCGGTGGCTATGGCTAGACTTCCGTTGGACATCGCTAGACTTCCGGTGGCTATGGCTAGACTTCCGTTGGACATCGCTAGACTTCCGGTGCACATGGCCAGACTTCCGGTGGACATGGCCAGACTTCTGGCACTATGATCCAATGTCACTGTTGGACATGGCCAGACTACTAGTAGACTTGGCTAGACTTTTGTAGATACGGTCAGACTTGCGGTGGACATGGCCAGACCTATGGTGGACATGGCCAGACCTATGGTGGACATGGCCAGACCTATGGTGGACATGGCCAGACCTATGGTGGACATGGCCAGACCTATACTGGACATGGCCAGACTTTTGGTGGACATGGCCAGACCTATGGTGGACATGGCCAGACCTATGGTGGACATGGCCAGACCTATGGTGGACATGGCCAGACCTATGGTGGACATGGCCAGACCTATGGTGGACATGGCCAGACTTTTGGTGGACATGGCCAGACCTATACTGGACATGGCCAGACTTTTGGTGGACATGGCCAGACCTATGGTGGACATGGCCAGACCTATACTGGACATGGCCAGACTTTTGGTGGACATGGCCAGACTTTTGGTGGACATGGCCAGACTTTCGACTTTATGGCCCTATAACAAAACAACTTTCCCTTGAAAGAAGATAGAACAAGCGTACACAGAAGAAAAAACAATCTACTCACAGTTAACGATGACCTCAAACTTCTGACTCATAGAGGGCTGGACGCCGTTGTCGGCGATACACTCGTAGAAGTCGGCACAGCTGCGTGAGATGTTGTGTATGACCAGAGACTCGCCTGTGTTGCCGACACCTGCAGATGTAGCATTCAATCAACAGCTGGCGTTGGTATACAACACGGTCATGCTAGGGTAGGGGGATGGGTGGGGAGGGGGTTAATGAGTGTATTTTTATTATCAGTAGAATATTGAGATCGTGCAGCTCGTGTGTAATTCGAGAGAGATAGAGAGAGAGAGATAGAGAGAAAATAGAGATAGAGAGAGATAGAGAGAGACAGATATATATGGGTCTAAGACAAATTCCCAAAAGAAGCTCGAAGACGGTTTTCCCTTATGAGCTCTTAGCCGTATGCAACGAAGGCACGAATGGACACTTCAGGCAAACGACATTCGGGCAAGTGTCTTCAGTGAAAAGTCAAACTCCCCATATATATATATATATATATATATATATATATATATATATATATATATATATATATATATATATATGTATATATATGCAAGAAGTGTGGTCAGTTGAAATATTCTATAATGTTGTATGGGATTATGGTTTGAGATAAAATTTTAACTTTATGTTGTTTGTGAGCAAACCAAGAAGCATTAAGGTTTGGCCTGCGATTTTTGTTTTGTTTGCTATCGTCGCAAAAATCTCCGAGCTAAAATACAGGTACAAGAGTTATAGATCATGGGCATAGCATCGTGGCTATGTATGGAAAAAGGCGATGTTCAAGTTTAGTCAAGATAGTTGTGGTAAACATGAAAGCGGGGAGGAATGATCTGTCTTCAAGTAAAAAAAAAATGATGTGTAGAAGTTAAATTTCCCTTATCAAAATTAACGATCCAAAAGGATTATGAAGTAAAGTTCATCGTTTCTTGAACGCGGCGAAGAAATTTTGTGGTCGCACTTAATGTGTAAATGCGCATTTGTTTAGTTTATCTAATGTAGCTGGATTCAAACCCCCCCCCCCCTCCAATCAACTTCTTTTTATCGTTTTTTTTTCAAAAAAAAATTAAAATAATTCCCAGATTTAAAGTACTGAATATGTGATCTGTACTATATCCGTTAACGTATACAGTCGGTGTTGTTGTCAGCCATCTTGTTTTTTTAATCCACTAAAATCAGCATTTATTTCAGCGAAAGTTCTCGACTTTGCTGCATAAAATCTAAAAACCCTTCTCGTGCTGACCCCTGGGGAATAGGAGGGAGCTGTAAGACAGATCTACGTGACGTCATTTTTGGAGATTTGCCAGATGGTTAATTTAAATTTAAAAAAAATAAAATAAAAAATAACAAATTTTAAAAAAAAAGCGAGAGCTAAAGGCCTTACGGTCTCTCTTGTTGACTCTAAACCACCTGACTACGTGACGTCATTTTTAGAGATTTGCTAGACGTTTAATTAAAAAAAAAAGTGGAAGCTAAAGGCCTTACGGTCTCTGGAGTCGTCCCTCTTGTTGACTCTAAACCACCTGACTGCGTGACGTCATTTTTAGAGATTTGCTAGACGTTTAATTTAAATTATAAAAAAAAAAGCGGAAGCTAAAGGCCTTACGGTCCCTAGAGTCGTCCCTCTTGTTGACTCTAAACCACCTGACTACGTGACGTCATTTTTAGAGATTTGCTAGACGTTAAATTTAAAAAAAAAAAAAAAAAAGTGGAAGCTAAAGGCCTTACGGTCTCGTGAGTCGTCCCTCTTGTTGACCCTAAACCACCTGACTGTGGGCTGGGGGGTGCCTGTGGCGTTGCAGTAGATCTCCACGGTGTCACCCTCTCGCTTCTTCACGATGGCTGGGCTGGTGTGTTCGACAATCCTGGGGGGTTCTGTAATAGACGTAAGGGTGGGGAGGGGGGCAATGTAATAGACGTAAAGGTGGGGGTAGGAGGACAATGTAATGGACTAAAGGGGGTTGATGGGGGTGGGACAATGTAATAGACGTAAGAGTGGTGGGTGGGTGGGGGGGGGACATGGTAATGGACGTAAGGGTGGTGTGGGGGTAGGACAATGTAATGCACGTAAAGGTGGGGGTGGGACAATGTAATGGTCGTAAAGGTGGGGGGACAATGTAATGGACGTAAAGGTGGTGGTGGGGGTAGGGGGGTGGGACAATGTAATGGTCGTAAAGGTGGGGGGACAATGTAATGGACGTAAAGGTGGTGGTGGGGGTAGGGGGTGGGACAATGTAATGGACGGGACGATTTAATGGACGCAAGGGTGGTGGGGGTGGACAATACGGGTTCATTAGTGGCTGAGCGGATGGGGTCGCTATTAGTCTGATTGTTAACAACCCCGGGCAGGTAATGGACTGGCTCTCGGTGAGTGGTCATCGCCTGATAGGAGGTCAGGACGACCTGTCTTAAATACATGGCTTAATTGGTGAGTTTTGGGCACGGCGGAAGTAAAATTAATGGATCAGTCTTTGTGTTGACTAGCGTGGAGCTGTTAGAGAGCGGGACAACTTGGTGTAACCGCGCTCAGTCTACCACTTTATGGGCGGGGATTTATTAAAACACAAACAAGGCAGAATATTAACAAAGCTAAATGTTTACTGACAACAGTTACTGTAAAAAAAATCTACTCACATTGGAACACCAAAACCACTACACACTAAAGACACCAAAACTTCTACTCAAAATAAACAACCATATCCCTTACTCACCATGGACCACCAAAACTTCTACTCAAAATAGACCACAACACCTCTACCCACCATGGACTACCACCACATCTACCCACCATGGACCACCATGGACGACCCAACACCTCTATCCACCATGGGCCACCATGGACCACCAACACCTCTATCCACCAAGGGCCACCATGGACCACCATCACCTTACCCACCATGGACCACCACCACCTCTACCCACCATGGACCACCACCACCTCTACCCACCATGGACCACCATGGACCAACAACACCTCTATCCACCATGGGCCACCATGGACCACCATCACCTTACCCACCATGGACCACCAGCATCTCTACCCACCATGGACCACCATGGACCACCAACACCTCTACCCACCATGGACCACCATCACCTCTACCCACCATGGAACACCAACAAAGACTACCACCACCTCTACCCACCATGGACCACCATGGACCACCACCGCCTCTACCCACCATGGAACGTTATGGACCACCATCACCTCTACCCACCATGGACCACCAAGGACCACCATGGACCACCAAGGACCACCATGGACTACCACCACCTCTACCCACTACATCTACCCACCATGGACCACAACACCTCTACCCACCATGGACCACCAAGGACCACCACCTCTACCTACTCACCATGGACCACCAACAAAGACCACCACCACCTCTAACCACCATGGACCACCACTACCTCTACCCACCATGGACCACCATGGACCACCACCACCTCTACTCACCATTGACCACCACCACCTCTACCCACCATGGACCACCAAACAAAGACCACCACCACCTGTACTCACCATGGACCACCAACGTGATGTGCTTGTTACCGACAGGGTTGACGTTGAGCTGACATTTGTACACGCCGGCGTCCGTCACACTGACGTTGCGGATGTGCAGGTTCCAGTCCCGGGTGCGCAGCCGCTCTACAGAGATGCGCATGTCATTGAGCAGACGACGCTCCTGCATGCTGACCACCGTCTCCAGGGGGTTGACCCACACCACCTGTACGATGCCAGGAAGGGTGTTAGTAAGCTTCGGGTGAAAGTAAGCTTAAAGCAGACACTTAGTAGAAGTAAGCTTAACGTAAGCTTCAGGTGAAAGAAAGTAAAGATTTAGTGAAATAAAATTAAAGTAAAGATTTAGTAAAAGTAAGCTTAAAGTAAACATTTGGTGAAAAGTAAGCTTAAAGTAAACATTGGTGAAAGTAAGGTTAGAGTAAACATTTAGTGAAAGGAAGGTTAAAGTAAACATTTAGTGAAAGTAAGGTTAAAGTAAACATTTAGTGAAAGTAAGGTTAAAGTAAACATTTAGTGAAAGTAAGGTTAAAGTAAGCATTTAGTGAAAGTAAGGTTAAAGTAAACATTTAGTGAAAGTAAGGTTAAAGTAAACATTTAGTGAAAGTAAGGTTAAAGTAAACATTTGGTGAAAAGTAAGGTTAAAGTAAACATTGGTGAAAGTAAGCTTAAAGTAAAGATTTAGTGAAAGAAAGCTTACAGTAATGATTCAGTGAAAGTAAGCTTAAAGTAAACTTTAGGTAAAAGTAAACTTAAAGTAAACTTCAGGTGAAAGTAAGCAAATAGTAAGCTTCAGGTGAAAGTAAACATTTAGTGAAAGTAAAGTTATAGTAAAGATTTAGTGAAAGTAAGTATAATGTAAAGATTTGGTGAAAGTAAATTTAAAGTAAAGGTTTAGTGAAATTAAGCTTAAAGTAAAGATTTAGTGAAAGTAAGCTAAAAGTAAAGAATCAGTGAAAGTAAGGTTAAAGTAAACATTTAGGGTGCAAATCGAAAGTTTGAGGGGAGGGGGTGCTAATCGAAAGCTTGAGGGAGGGTGCAAATCGAAAACTTGAAAGTTTGTCCCCGGGAAGGGTCGCTACGCCTTAAAGTAAAGATTTAGTGAAAGTAAGCTAAAAGTAAAGAATCAGTGAAAGTAAGGTTAAAGTAAACATTTAGGGTGCAAATCGAAAGTTTGAGGGGAGGTGGTGCTAATCGAAAGCTTGAGGGAGGGTGCAAATCGAAAACTTGAAAGTTTGTCCCCGGGAAGGGTCGCTACGCCTCTGGGGGGTGATACCATTAAGTGCCGCACCGGGTTACACCCGACCTCGCCACGCCACTGCTTTTATCCAACCAAGTTCTTCCAAAAAAAGATGTTTTCCAAATATATTTTTAGTTACAATTTCATAGTCAAGATTTAAATATAGAATTTTTCCCTCCACAAAAATATTTAAAAGTTCGCCTAGCTTTCTTTTTTTTTCGATCGTGCGATCGTTTTCTAAATCTAATCGTCGCCGGTCTTAAAAATCGAACCAGGTTTAAACGCCGTAATCCCCATTTAAAAGGGAAGGAATCAACATGAAGAAAAAAACAGTGCTGCTCTCTCTTGATTTCTAGCCGAGGCCCAAGACTTGACGTGAGGGTGCAGTGTTTCTTTCATACCCGCTCTCCCCCTCGTAGCATGTCTATCCCACCCTTCAACCAAATAGAAGTTATATAGCAAATATATACTGTTACCAGTGTCCGCCAGTGTTTCTTTCAGACTTTTTTCTCCGGGGGGGGGGGATTGAAATTTTCGGGGGGGGGGGGGGGGGGGGGGAGGGGGGGCGGTAGACTTTCTTCGACTTTCTTCCGCCCTAGCTCACACCTCGGAAAATTTAGTCCGCCCCCAGCCCTATATTTGAAACTCAGGGACGGTCTACTGACTTGAACCCGGATTCGAACTCGAGACTTACGGGTTAGCAGTCCAGCTCTCTACCGCTAGACCTCTCCGTCCCATCCCGAGGAAGAAATGGTGAAAGAAACACTGTGTGAGTGGTTTTAAGCGAAACCAGTTCTTTAGAACCCACATTTCCAAGAAACCAAAAAAATATTTTTATGTTGTTTTTTTTTAATTGGGGAATAACTTCGGGCGTAAGAACTGGCGGCGCTCTGATGTCTTAAAACGTCATCGTTAAACTGTCGTGTCGTCTGCTCTGTCTAGAACCCAACGTCGTGCTTCTTGCAGTCGGCGTGTAGCGCCTCACAAGATTGATCTACGGAAATCTAGACAACCCCCCCACCACCCCTACCTTCTCACCGCGCCGCAACCCTCATAAAATGTTATACACTCTGCAGATGAGCAGGGATGAAGGGGGGGGGGGGGGAATTCGCCGTTACGACACTGAACTCACGCGCCCCTTGTAAGAGGGTTGTTTATTTATAGCGATGCGATCGGGCGAGCGTGTTAACTGCTGGGGGATTTAGTGTCACGTGACCAGCGCCCACCTACCCACACCCTCAAGTATCTATCAAAGATCGCCATAAGTCTTTCTTCCTGTTTCATCACATTAGGTAGGCTCATACAGATACATAAAATAAATAAATACCATACGGACATATATTGAAAAACCAATTCATACAAGTACCAATTCATACACATTAAGTTAACCGAAAATATTATATTTTTTTTACATCTTTTTAATCGGATCGTATTTCTTTTTAGGATTTACTTATTTACAATATTATTATTTTAAAGCATTGCTTTAATTTGTAGGATTTACTTATTCACAATAATTTTTAGCATTGCGTTAATTTGTAGGATTTACTTTTTCACAATTATTTTTTGCATTGCGTTAATGTGTAGGATTTACTTATTTACAAATATTTTATAGAATTGCATTTATTTGTAGGATTCACCTGTAGTTATAATTGTGTTAATAAAGTACAACACCAAGAGTACAACAATCCACACTTCCTAAGGCTTTAAAAACCTACGAACAGTACCTATCCCCCACCCCCCCCCCTTCCCCCTGTTTGAGAACCATTCCAACAACATCCAAATCCCATTTTGAGACACCGATTACTGCATCTACCCTCTCCTCTTATTTGAGAACCTGCTAACAACACCAACCTCCAGCCTGCAACTCCACACCCACCCCTAGACCATCCGCTCCCCAAACACACACCCACTCCCAGACCAACTCTCAGACCTATTTCAAGACCCATTCCCAGACCCACCAATAGATCCCCGACTCCCAGACCCACCCACAAATCCACCTCTAGACCCCCCCCCCCACAGAACCACACCCAGACCCACCCATAAACCAACCTCTAGACCCACACATCAGACCCACCCACAAACCCACCTATGGATCCCCAACTCCCAGACCAACCTATAGACCCCCCCCCAATCCCAGGCCCACCCACAAACCCACCTATAGACCCCCCACCCCCACACCCACCCTGTACATATCCGGGTTCATCTCCGTGATGTTGGGGTCCACCTCGCAGGGCAGGAGGGCGGTGGTCCCAGAGACCACAGTGATCGTCATGGGCGTATCATCAAACGGCTTGATCTCTTTCGGCTTCTTGTAAAGACAATCTGAGGAGTAGAATAACAAAAAGTAAATATAGGTCTCTATGAACTTTGTGTCAACCCGAGCTACTACCGACATGCTACATTGTGTCGTTGGAGATTTGATAACAAAAAGTAAATATAGATCACTACGAACTTTGTCAACCCCAGCTACTGTAGGCTACATGGGAACTTTGGAGATTTAATAACAAAAAGTAAATATAGATTTCTATGAACTTTGTCAACACGAGCTACTGTAGGCTACATTGTGACGTTGGAGATTTAATAACAAAAAGTAAATATAGATCTCTATGAACTTTGTCAACTGTAGGCTACATTGTGACGTTGGAGATTTGATAACAAAAAGTAAATATAGATCTCTATGAACTTTGTCAACTGTAGGCTACATTGTGACGTTGGAGATTTGATAACAAAAAGTAAATATAGATCTCTATGAACTTTGTCAACTGTAGGCTACATTGTGACGTTGGAGATTTGATAACAAAAAGTAAATATAGATCTCTATGAACTTTGTCAACTGTAGGCTACATTGTGACGTTGGAGATTTGATAACAAAAAGTAAATATAGATCTCTATGAACTTTGTCAACTGTAGGCTACATTGTGACGTTGGAGATTTGATAACAAAAAGTAAATATAGATCTCTATGAACTTTGTCAACCCAAGGTACTGTAGGCTACATAGTGACGTTTTATTCAGTCAGATAAGCGCCTGTCTATACCGATGAGTAAACGACTGCATGACACACTACCTAGCGTGACATGTTCTACATTTTATTAGAACGGATGGGATACACATTTTGTTTTAAACACAGATGGAAATACTGCAGTTTGTTTTCTTTTTTTCAGTACGATTATTTTATTTTATTTTGTAGTAAATAACTTTTCTTCCAAGAGTTACACTTGTTATATAATCCAGTTTTTTTCACATTCCCTTATGAATAGGAAGTTAAATATGTACTTAATAACAACACATCATCAAATGATATTTTCCACAATGTGACCAAAGACTTGGGTCAGGTTATTGTTCAATAAGAATGAAGGTGGGAACGATATGTAGCACGCAAGTAAGTGTAAATTGTGTAAGTTATTTTTGCGTTTCGATCAAATTTTAAATTCCATTGCTAATGGGGAAAATATATCATTTTTGTGGAAAACATTTTGTTGGATAATAGCTTTTAAATTTGAGGACAACGCGCCGACCACATAGCCTGCATAATTTATAATGTTTACTATATTACAAAATATTGTAGATATATTCAACTAACACGATCACTTGTATAAAATTGTAATTTTTAAAAAAGTAATAGCCCTAATAGTCTAATAGGAAGTGAAAGATACAGTTCTAGCAATGAGGCATTGTTATATAAATACTATTAAATAATCTCAACACCCCCCCCCCCCCCCCCCATTAACAAATATTTTGTGTTTTTTATGCATTTTTTTCAAATGTGAAAAATATGCAAACTTCTTTTATTTATTTCTATCTCCCTCAAATTATTTATTTTTATTTAATAATTATGTGCCATATTTTACAGCTTTAAACTCTCTATCAACCTCATTCATTCCACAATCTCCGACCTCTCTTCTCTCGTGTCTTTCTCTATTCTTCTCCACCTCTTTTTCTCACACACACATTATTCCTCCCATTCTCAAATCTCTCTCTTTTTTTACTGTGTGTGTCGTTGAATTAGAACTCTTTCATTTTACTCTATAGCATTTAGTTCACTGCCTTATTTAACCTCACCGCCAAACCACACCCCAAACCACACCCCACACCGCACAGCGACCACAAACCCTTCCATTCTACGACTCAACAACGCGTGCCCACACGCAATAGTTCTCATGTCCAGAATACTGGCACCCAACCCCCTCACCCCCCCCCCCCACACACACACTCACCCAACTACACAACCTGATTGTTACCAGTAAAAATGTAAAAAAAATATCTGAAATAAAAAAAAAGAAATAAAAAAATTAAGGTAAAAGAATATGTATCATTTTAGCAGTACTACTGTACTCTTTCATTCACAGACGTTATTACAATAAAATATTTTAATAAATTTTAATTTATCAACAGCCAAGGGTCAAAACGCCAGCTCAGTTCTAAAAAATTTACTTGTTTGAGATATATTTTAACATAGAACAGTTAAATCTTCCAAAAATATCAAACAACAAAAATGTTTAGATTCCAATTTCTCAAAATGTTGTATGCTATAGAATTTCGCAACAACTTGACGGTTTCCATTGCAACATTTACCTGATACTTAATTGAAAATAATGACATTTATCTAATATCCATATATATATATATATATATATATATATATATATATATATATATATATATATATATATATATATATATATATATATATATATACAATTTATTTCTATATTTGCTAGTGTGTCATATTATGTTTTTCTGTCAAAGACAGATGGAGAGCGGGGATGAATGAATGAATAAATGTATACCAACTGCCCACAATTTAAGATGCAACAATAGCCCCCGTCCCTCGTCCTGGGCCCAATCCCGACCCCCCTCCTGTCACGGTGTGTCACGGCTGATTTAATAATCCGTTGACACATTTGTCAGAGGCCGAAGAAAACGTATGATTTATATCAATAAGCGCCTGGTGGTTTATTTTTAAATCAAATATCCTGTGCTCTCCGTATTCGTTTGTTGATATGGCGCTTGAGAATGTGTGTATATTTTTTCTTCGTATTGTCTCAATGATTTATGATAATGCACCGAATTTTTTAATTATTTTTTTTTTAGTTTGGATTGTTATATTATAAAAGATGGGGCTCAACGGAGGAGTCTAATAAAGGAAGTGTTTACTAGCCCTCTTCGCAATAATTTTCTGAAATATTGTTTCGACGTGTTCTTTATAATGATAACATCCATTTGAAAAGTTTTGTGTGCCCAGTGTAATGGTGTGCATGGCATGTGCATGTTAGTGTGTTCGATGCGTGTGTCAGTCTGTTTGATATTTATGATATGCATGCTAGTGTGCTTATGAGTATGTGAGTGTTTTTTTATGCGTGTGTCAGTGACTTTGATGTAGGGCCTATATGTTGGTGATTTTGATGTGTATGTTATTGACTTAAATGTGTGTGTTAGTGTGTTTGATGTTTATATTAGTGTGTTTTATCTGTTTGTCTGAGTGTTTAGTGTATGTTAGTGTGTTTGATGTTTATATTAGTGTGTTTTATCTGTTTGTCTGAGTGTTTAGTGTATGTTAGTGTGTTTGATGTTTTTGTTAGTGTGTTTGATTTGCTTGCTAGAGTATTTGATACTTATGTTAGCGTTTTTGATGTGTTTGATGTGCTTATGGTGTGTTTGATGTATATGCTAGTGTGTTTTATGTGTATGTTAGTGTGTTTGATATGTTTGTTTTGTGTTTTTTAATTTCTATGTATGTTTGAGTGTTTGGTGTATTGATGTGTTTGTTAGTGTGTCTGGTGTGTATGTCTGTGTTTGTGAAGTGTATGTTAGTGTGTCTGATGTGAATTTGACGTCTGTGGATGTTTAAGTATGATTCATACTCTTGATTGGATATACCCATACATAACACTATTCTAAATATCCTCCCCCCTTCTCATCAACACTCTCACCCTACTCCCCCCTCACACCCTCACACACCCTCACAAAAGGGAGCCAGATTTAATCGGCTCGAGTGAGCGCGCGGTATCTAAGCAAACAGAGGCGCCCACGTGGTGTGGGACGATATCCGGTGAGCCTCTTCATCGATTCATAATTTACACAAATTTACAACCCCTTAACCCCTCACGGACCGGCAATTATCGCGATAATTAACTTGGGTAATAAAATTGCATGGGGTTTATAAAAAAAAAACATAACAATAGGAGGGGATGGGGGTGGTAAAGACAGCACACGCAGTGTAGGGAAAGGTAAGGGATGGGTAAAACTAGTACATCCATATATATATATATATATATATATATATATATATATATATATATATATATATATATATATATATATATATATATATATATATATATATATATAACTGAATCACTAATCAATCACTATATCATATCGCCTCAACTGTGCAGAATCGAATCCTTATACAACAATACTAACTATCCACAAATCGACCCTACTCGCCCTACCCAACAAGACCACAAAACCCCTATACCCACACCCATTATCGCATGATCCCCACACGGACTCCTTACTCACAACCAATACCACGCATCCTCACACAGTCCACATACCCACATCCATCCACTCCTCACATTCTACAAACTCCACCCCCATCCCCATAATCCACATACCCCCACCTCACCGTCTACATACCTTCACGTGCAGTCCATATACACCCACCACCACAGCCCATATACCCCCACCACCACACCACTACAGGCAATAAATCCCCACCCTGAGTCCACAGTACATATACCTGCATATCCACATTACACATACCCCCACCCACACTGTCCAAATACTCCCTACCCACAGTATATACCCCTATCTCCACATTACACATACCCCCACCCACAGTCCACATACCCCCTAACCACAGTCCATATACCCACATCGCCACATTACCCCCACCCCCATTGTCTAAATACCCCCACCCAGTGTCCACCTACCCCCACCCGCTAGATCACATCAGCACTTAAGACTAGTATCCAATATGATATAGATGAAACAAACATACACCTCCTCTTTCCACTTCACTGAATACGATATTAATTACTACACGGTTTTAGTCTAGATCAGATTTCTATCCCAGACTAAGATAAACATGCAAATTGATCCTTTTAATTATCTCCCATTGAGAGTGGCCGTTCCTGAACCTGAAAGAGGGCGTTATCTCCCCTTAGCTGTTAAAAGATGAGAAAATATGATGACACTTTAAAACACACGCTCAGTTCCGGAAATAACCCCAACTGCGTTACTGTCACCATGGTGATGTCCACGTGATCAGAACAAAGCTATTCAAAACCGCATGCATTTATTGTATATTGGTTTTTGTTTATTTTAAAAAAAAATACTAAATCTGTCCCGTTAAATCAATCGGTATTTTAGTTATAGAATTACTAAAGCGGTGTCGCTGAGATGAAAGTTGTTCGCTTAGAATCAAAGAGAAATTGTTTTGAAACTTTTATGTAAAAAGCGTGTTGCTGTTTTAAAAGGATCACTGACGATAGACGAATTGTTTGAGATGGTGGTGAGATTCACGTGACCTGTGATGGAAATTGAAGCGTTTTTTTTTTAAAACTTGTTTTGCGCTGTATAAAAAAATAGTCCATTTAGATGGCTAATGTTGTAACTTTGTTAACTATGTCAAAACTTGCTGATATAGGGATAATTTTTAAAAAAAAATGTACTTGGACAGACCAGTAGCAACGAGTCCAACGACTGGTGTGTAAGTGTGTGCAGTGGCGTAACGAGGTGGGTGTCGATTTGCACCCCCCCTCTCAAATTTTTCTCTATATATTTTGCTATTTTTTTGCCTTGGTGTAACCCCCCCCCCCCCTCCCAAATGGTGTCACCCGGTGCGGTCCGCAACCCCGCTCCCCCCCCTCGCTACGCCTCTGAGTGTGTGTGTTTGGAGGGGGAGTTAGGAGGTGTTAGCATCCCCAGTCTTGGTGGATAAAAACACAAATAAAAGTTAGTGCGTGTGAAATTTTAGCTACAGGCGATGGTGCTCTCCTGTGTAGAGGGAAGGTTTCGGTTGATGCAGTGGAGGTTAAGGTAAATATCTAACAGTCCATAGTGTTTGGTCAAGTTTAAAAATGAATGCTCTGTTTATTGAGTGAAAATTTGTTTGGGAAAGTTAACCTTACCAGTTTTTTTTATACTCGTTTTACTTATATGCACTGCATGTAGTGCTGTATTTGCAATAGATCAAACAATCGATACATCAGAACACCTGAACTAGAACGATGAGCTCTTTAATCGCCCACTGGAGTTGATCCTCTTGCTGTATCTTCCACGCTCCATTGATTTTATTCGATCCCAAAAGCTCTTCTTTAAAAAAAACTCGATACCTCACACACGTCTTCGATACTGTATTCGACTTTTTTTTACTGGTGACTCAACAAGTACGAATAACTTTAGGCAAGTTCGATGCTCCACAGATGACCTTTAATAACTTCATTCCTGGTAGAGATTCCCAGAGCAGTCTTCAGATTTTCTAGAAGATTCTATAGAGTAGTAGATCTCCTAGGCTTTGTTCCCCCTTTCTCCCCCTCCCCCCACAAGTCTAGAAGATAACAACCCGCCAGCCATCAATGCCAGAAGATCGACTTCCCCAACTTAAAGACTAGCAAGAGGGGGGGTGGACTCTATAGTTTACACACACTGAACGGTGACTGGGCGGCCACAGTGACGTCTTAAGCTGTAGGGGGTCATTACCGGTTGTCGATCAGAGGGCGATAAACCTCACGGTACCAGGCCGGAAGTGGTCTTTGCAAATTGATAGCCAGCAAAAACAAATGAAGGAACAGTCAGTATTGATCAAACGACGCCCCGAATTTTGGGGTGCGGGGTTTTTTTGGAGGGGGATGGACGTCAGAGAGCTAGGGTGGGGTTGGAGAGGTGGGGGTATTGCCATGGGGGTGGACGTTAAATGTGGGCGTAGATTTAGGGCCCTGCTGAGCAGGAATAAAAGGTCGGGGGATTCATTTTCGTGTTAAATGAGTACTCTAATTATCGGGTGTATTCGGTGATATATTTTTGCTAGAATCGATTTCATAGCTCTTACCCCAAACTTTGAGTATATACAAGCAGGAATCATTATTGGATGTATTCGGTGATATCTTTTTGCTAGAATCGATTCCAAGGCTCTAACCCCAAACGTTGAGTATGGTCTAGCAGGAATCATTATGATCTTTTCCCGTTCGTGAAAGACATACGAGATAGATAAAGTAGAGTTAGTCTGTTTTCAATGACCTCGGCATATTAGGAATAGTGTTGTCAGCACTATGTCCAGCCGCCTTTGTTTCTCTAACATGAGAACGATACTCAAGGCTGGGTGATCTCAAGGTCCTACTAAAATCTAAATTATGGAATCCGAAATCAAGACTTTCAGGTTTGCGGTCGTAAGCTCGACCACCCGACCACACCGTCTGTAGCAGGGATCCTAATCGTGAAGCTAACAGAGATGTTTAAAGAAAACAAGTTAATTAAAAAAGTCTAGTGACATTTGTGCGCAATTTCCTTATGTTATCTAAAAATAGCTCTGACGTATAATGTTGGGGTGCGTTCAAGCTAGAAGAACAATCGGTTTGTAGGTGTTTATGTAATTTTAAAATTTGTGAACGAACGAGAGAATATTTTTGAAAACTTTCTTCGGCAATATTGTTCTAAATTATGACAGAAATCGATTGGTACATGTTTCAAGTCGCTAAGTGGTCTGGTTGCCGAGATATGGGCCAAAAACTGCTTTTTTTCGAGATTTTTTGGCTTTTCTGGGAAATCCATGAAAGAAACCCGGAATTTTTATGGCCTATGTTCATCCTCGTAACTTGCTTAACATAATTGCTTTTTGAACTAGTCATCGATATTGCTTCGTTGAGGAGGAGATACGACTTAAAGCTGCGGACACACATTCATCCATCCATCCATCCATCCATCCATCCATCCAGAAATGACGGGTTAATAAACGCAATTCTCCAGAATGGAAATTGCGCTAAAAATGGTTATACCTTGTTGCATTGTTCAGCTAAAGTTTATATTTTTTTTTTAAATCTAATGAGAATGGACGGCTAGGATTGTACGGGTGTGGAGACGGCAAAGGGTGTATCGTTTTAACTTTGTGTGGGGCATGGGGGACATCTCCAAGGGAGGAATTAAAAGCCTTCTGTCAATACTATGGTATAGGGTGGGGCTAAGGAAGATTGTGTGATGGGCCCGGGGGGGGGGTGCAATGGTGTGATGGAGGAGAATGGGACGGGGCTGTTCTTGCAGGTAATTACATAATGGCTTACACGCTTTGTGGGTGAGTAGGTTGATTTTCGTGATGGGGGGGGGGGGTAATGTTGAGGTGAGTGGCGTCACACAAATAGAGATAGAAATGGGGGGGGGGGGGGGGTGGGGATTTAGCTGAAGCTGATCTTGAGTCGTTGAGTGACGTCACACAAGTGTTGAAGGCTGCGGCTAAAACATGGGCCATGTCTATGTTATCCATCAGTGGATGTGTTGTCGTGTTGATACACCTCATCAGATGAACGCTAAAGTGCCATATTTATTTTCGGAAGATTTCTATCTCCAAGGTGTTAATTTGTTAAAGTTCCCCTTCCTAACCTGACCGTCTATGGGGAAAGTGAAGTAGAGTGTACCTGTTTCTGTGACCTCGGCGTATGAAGGGATAATTTGGTCAGCACTATGCCCAGCCGATCTTACCTTCCCTAACATGAGTTAGGTACCCATCAGAGCTGGGTGGACTCAAAGACGTTCTACTGACCTGAACCCGGATTCTAACTCGAGACATACGGGTTACCAGTCTAGCTCTCTACTGCTAGGCCACACCGTCCCAGTTTACTTGTTAGTGTCCAGATTTCACTGGCATATATTATCACTGGTCTTGGTTTTGTTCCATTAATGCTGCTACTGACGTTCTTGTTTTTTTTTTAGAATATTGTACCTACTCTTCTTCTTATTCGTTCTTAATTTTAGTTAAGGGATGCCCTCCAACACAATTAAGTATATGCGTAATACAGCCTGTTTTTCTTTTTGGATTTGCTTCCATAGCCTTTGTCCAACCAAGAACAAACTACAAGACAGCAGTTGTTTGACTTTGAAGTTTTCTCTCCTAGATGAATGGCTGTCCCCAGCTATTGAGCCTCATCTGCCTGGGGGTTCGAACTCGGGATTTATCGGTTCAGCAACCATGAGCTTAACCGACCCGACTACGCCGACCCGGAGTAGTACTTTTTAAAAAAATCTCTTTTTAAATCATTTTTTCATGTCTGTAAGTAGGTATATGTCTTCATGTTTCAAGAATCATATGCTAAACGTTCTTTGATCGACGTCTTCTTATGTGTGACCTTCAGAGTTGATACCTTACTATGTGAGAACACGATTGCATCAAGATATAAGCTACACAGTTTCAAAGATCATACCATTGCACCCACTTAGTTATACATTTTAATTTTTTGTCACATGCGCGTAAGGCTGAAAAGGGATTGGTTGTTCTTCAGCCAATCGCTACACGTTTAATAATTAAAAAAATTTGACCCACGAGTGACCGTCATCACGATTAGAATTTCAAAAGGGGGCGATGTAATTTATTCAAATCTCAACTCAAACTACGG